AAGGGGGAGTGTGCGTGCGACTTGGGAGCTTATACAACATGTGTGTATGGTGATGGGACTGATCCAACAGGTGGGGGGCATTAATAGTGCATGCAATAAAGAGATCATGGTATTCTCCAGTAGGTGGAAAGGGAGGGACAGGTACAAGCGGGCTTTAGATTCATTATCTCATGCTGGGAACAGTGGCTCACCCCTATAATCCCAGCTACCAGGTGAGAGGATCACTTGAACTCAGTCTGGGCAACATAGTGAGACTCTGTTTCAAAGAAACATATGACTAGTTCATGCACTATTCATCCAGAGTAACAGAGGAAAGGCAAGTTATTTGGGCACAGGTGCAGGTGGAGGTGGCAGTGTGTGAAATTCTGGCTACTTCATCAATCATATTGCTGAAATGAGAATATGCTCAGCTGAGGGCAAGGAAGGGGAGAATGTGAGGGAAGATTGGAGACAGAGAAGGAGCCATAGAAAAGTCATTTAAAAGGGCAGAAGAGTGAGCTGATCAGGGAAATAAGTTAGAATTGCCTGAGCTCCTCCAGGGACTAAAAGAACCTTAGGCATTGGCTCTCAAGAATTTAAAATACAGTAAGGCCAATTGTCCATGGTTGAGTGGTTTTTCTAGCCATGTGCAGCTGCAGAGATGTAGGCACAGAGTGACAGAGAGTTGACTTAACCAGGATTGCGTTTTGCCAGACAAGCGTGAGGAAGAGAGGAAGTGGCATGGACGTTGAGGGTAGATGCAAGGGAGTTTATCTAAAGCAGAGGGGCAAAGTGGTGTCGGTCAAAGCTTTGATTTTTCCTGGTAGGTGGTGTCTTAGAAAGGTTGATACTGGGCTGGGTGCAGTGGCTCACAACTGTAATCCCAGCACTTTGGGAGGCCGAGTCAGGTGGATCAAGAGGTCAGGAGTTCAAGACCAGCCTGGCCAAGATAGTGAAACACCGTCTCTACTAAAAATACAAAAATTAGCCAGGCATGGGGGCGGGCACCTGTAATCCCAGCTGCTTGGGAGGCTGAAGCAGGAGAATTGCTTGAACCTGGGAGGTAGAGGTTGCAGTGAGCTGAGATTGTGCCACTGCACTCCAGCCTGGGTGACAGAGCAAGACTCCATCTCAGAAAAAAAAAAAAAAAAAAAACAGAAAGGTTGATACTGGTGACTTCCCGTAAATGTACAGTGCATGATAAATGCAACACAAATGAACACACCACCGGGGGTGTGAGATTAATGTGTGGAATACAGCATAAGGCTTTTGATGACTGTGACTCACTACCAGTTGCCCAGACTGGCAGCTACCAGTCCTCGGTTTTAGAGGAGAAGAACAAGTGAAGAATAAGTGACATGTTGCTGCAAATTTCTCGGATGCCTCAGACCACTGCCCACATGGCCCTGAACAGGACCGATCATGCTCTGAGACGACCCTGGCCCTTTTCAGTCAGCTTACCATTCACTTAGCAAACCTGACATCCGCCAACTCTCCCTTTATGGGAAGAAGATTTTGAGAGGTTTATTAGTTGCTCCTACCCAGGTGTGAACCACAGCGACTCCCTCCTTAGCCCTGCACCTGTGGGAACTTCTTACAGCTTTTCTGCTTCTTACTCAGCCCATGGCATCTTTTCAAGCACACACCTCTAGGCTCTTTTGTTCTTCCTTTACAGCAGGCTCCAGCGATTCAGCGGAGCTGATCTTTACTATACCCTGAGGGCCACGTCGCCTTCTTCCCCACCTTCCCTCCCTTCCTAGTCATCTCAGCAGATAAGTCATCAGGTCCTTTTGATTTTAAAGGATTCATTCCTTATCACAAATATGTAAGACAAGTAACAAATATAACACAGATAATGAAAATTAGCATAGTACAGAGCTTCTAGAATCCGAACAAAAACTTCCATAATTTTGGTCCAATTTATTGTTTGTGCTTTCACTTGTGATAAGGAATGGAAACTTCTTCTGCCTTTAGCTAATTCCCAAGGCCAAATTCAGCAGCAAAAATAGGATAGTCTCCCACTCCCCTCAATGTCTCCTAAGAGCCCCTCATTCCAGCTCTGAGGTCTGACACAGCCTCCCTGGAGATCAAGATTGATATCTAAAAACATCTGTTGCACTCCCCAGTCCAAGATGATTTTGGTCCAGAGAAGTAAGAAATTTCCTCATCTTCAGACTGGGGAGAGTAACAGATAATTTAGAATCTGCTAAGTTTCTACGTTTTAGAAGTTTCTTTGATTTAGAATCAACTGTGAACTCTGAGAATATCAATATTAGTTTTCTTTCTTTCCCTTTCCTTCTCTGGAGCATATCCAATCCACTCTGTAATGGCCAGCCTAAAACGACACAATCATAGAAATGAATTGCTTAGGGTTTCTAAACAAAGGGAGTCGCAGAACTCAGAGTAAAAAGCCAAGCAGAGGAAACAGCAGGTGATTTGTGCTAATGAAAGCACTGAGATCCAGACTTGCACCCACTTCCCCAACACTTACTTATTCCAATATGTGCGCCAAAGGAAGCACCTGTTCACCTCTCCTTATACCACAGAGAGTGCTCAGAATTGGCTGTTGGCATAACTGGCCTTTAATTCCAGGGCTGCCCTTAGACCAGCTAAGAGACCTTCAGCAAGTGTCCCGGGCTTGCTGGGTCTGGCACTTACCTGGAAACTGGGGCAGTGAGCCAATGGTCTTCCTCATGCTGATATTCTATCCTATCCCACTCTTGCTCAAAGCCATGTGTAGAGGTAAGTGAAGTCAATGTTCCTGAGCATTAACTGTGTAGCAAACACAATGTCTATAACGTCTACCTTCTTGTAACAGGGAGACTAGAGATTGCTTTGAAGAACTAAAAGAAGGAAATATAGATGGGCAAAAGGGGCCAGGGAGGGAGACAGAGATTCAGGGCCAGGGTAGGGGTTTTGGACTTTAATCTGATGACAAGGGAGGCCACTGAAGGACTTAAAGACAGTAACGTGCTCAGATCTGTATTTTAAAGAGAGAATCTGGCTACAGTGTGGAGACTATGTTGTGTGTGTGCGTGTATATGTGTGTGTCTGTGTGTGGAGGGAGGCAAGGTGGGAAAGGAGGCCTCTAAACTAGGCCAGAGATGCTGGTCGCTTGGACTACGGTTACAGCAATGAGGCTGGGATGAAGGGGACAGGAGGGAGGAGATTAAGAGGCAAACTTAAAGGGACTTGCTGCTGGATTGTGGGGTGGGTGGGGAGTGGTTTCAGGGAGACCACCTAGAGTTTTGCTTTGAGGAGCTGGATGGTGGTAATGCCATTTCCTGTCACAGGGTGTGTGTGTGAGTGTGAGTGCACACTTGTGAGTGTGGTGAGGTGTGGGAGCTGTAATGAGGAAGTGGATGAAGGAATTCCATCTTGGACCTGCTGGGTTTGAGGTCTAGCATCATTTGAGGAATCCGGATGGTTGAGAAATTTTAATAAATATCAACTGTGTATTTTGTGAGGATACTCACCCCTGCTACAAGAATGGAATAGACATTTGCATTGTTCATTGAGCAAATACTATTTTGATCTTTAAAAGTAATCACCCCACCTTCTTTTCGTGTTGTGTTCTGTCTTTCCCAAAGTATTTGACTTTTGGCTACTCATCTAGGTTGGCCTCAACACCACAATTGACCTGGGCAGTTCACTTGTGTTAATTCAGCAGATCTTGAATCTGCAGCAGTGACTTAAGAGAAAATCATTCTAAACATCAAAACCTCAGAAATTCCTTCTTAGGACCTCAAACGTGCCATAGGCCTATGTGTACAATATGCACCAAATTTGTTTTATACTCAGATATTTCTATACTTAGTTTGGAAATACAGCATACCTCCTTCTTGGGAGAAATCACAGCCCTCAGGGAAAGGAGAGATATAGTTTTGGGTCTTGGGATTTAAATCACATAGTGAGATGGCATCCACTCTTGGTCAGCTAAGGCTCCAACTGCTTGGTTGTGTATTTTCCAGTATTTAAGTGATTTTGAATGCTGCGTTTCTTTGACTAGCTGAATATTTAAATTTGCCACAAGATGGCAGCATGATGTTATAAAAGAGAATAGAAAAAACCTCTTTTTTTCAAAGCCCAGGTATTAATAAATAGAGGACTGGAAAGCAATCGTAACTGAGATTTTTTCTTCTTGTTCTTATAACTGGAAAGAAAGGAAGGAATAAATTATGAAAGAAAGCAATGAAGTACAAGGTGAAAAAATGGGCTGGAGGAATTGAGGGAGGGAAAGCAAGTAAAAAAGAAAGTAAAAGAAAAAAGAAAAACACTTCACATCCAACTAGATCATATTTAAAGAAAAGAACCAAGCTGCTGTTGTAGGAAGTTTCCGAGGGAGGAAACCAGTGCATTAACCACATTTATTCACAGCCCCGATGTGTGAGTGCAAGACAGACATTTGACCTTCTTAAGAAAGCAGTCGTCTATTTGGGAAACTATGAGAATGAATTTACATTTACAAAGTTTTCTAGATCCTTTAAGTCAGTCTTACATTAGCATAATTCCCAGCTTGTATTCAAAATGGATTTTATTCAGTATCCTTCAAAGAGGTCATTAATGTTGGTTTCCCTGTTTACACTGTGTAGGGAAAAAAGTGAAATTATTCAAGAAGGGAATAAACTGTATTCAGACACACATTGACAGCAGTGCCTTCTGTGCTGGAAATGAGGACGCTGCCTCCAGTTCAGTGCTTCCAGAGGTCTGCTAGCTGGGAAGAGATTTTCCAGAGCGGGCTCCGTGACTCTGCACTGACCAGCCACCACGCCCTTGGGTCACTCTGTAGCCCCGTCAGCAACTTGCTCTCTCCTCATTTAATGAATCTGGCTTAGCAGGGGAGTTCTGGGATGGGAGACATCTTGGGAATGGTATCGGTTTTTTAGCCTTGGCGATAGTGACATCTTGAGCCAAAGAATTCTTTTTTAGCGGCCCGGGAGCTGTTCTTCTTACAGGAGGATATTTAGCAGAATTCCTGGCCTCTATCTGCTCCGTGCTAGTAACATCCTTCAGTTGTGATATCCAAAAGTGTCTTCAGATGTTGCTGAATGTCCTCTGATGAGCAAACTACCCTCTTCCCCTATTCGAGTACCAGTGTTTTAGATGAATTCTAATTACAAGAATGAAGGAAATTCTGAAAGCTTTATTTGTCTTACTGTCCTGTTCATGGGCAAAATTATTATTGAATCATCAGAGAAATGTGTGCTCTTCAAATATATGTTGGAGATTTCCAAACATTAAATCCAGGCATAAAATGCCCTTATTGCAACAAAGATAACATTCTCTTATATGAATCAGCAAACCACATAAATTTATTATAACTATTCTGTTGGGTAAAAAACCTATACAAAGCACCACAGGGGATGCAAAGCAGTAAGAGTTTTTACAGAAATAAAAACAATTATGTTGTTAATTGCTAAATACTTTTCCTATTTATTGAGATGTCCATGTTCTATTCATTTCATTTAAAGTTTGAAACATCTCTATGGAGAAATATTATTTGCATTTTTATAGAGAAAGAAACTGAGGCTGAGAGAAGTTTAATCACTAGCTCAATGTTACATTAATAGATAGCAAAGACCAGATTAAAGGCCAGATTAAAACCCAGCCTTTCTAACACCAACAACTGTGTGTGCTCTAATACCCGCCACCAACCCTTGAAAATCTTACAATCTAGTTGGGGAAACAACACACATACATAGGAAAGTTGTCTAATGTCATAAGGCAATAAATAATTTAATCAGAAAAACCATAAAAATTATAAGATGCATTGCTGTAGATAAGAGTGGCCTGGGAAGTTATGAGGACGTGATGTGTCTTGATTGTGTGTATTTAAAGAACCGGGGATTAGGGAGATGGGAGGAGATGGGTTATATCGCATAAAGCGGCAATCTTCAATGGAACAGTGGGGCTGCACGGGGGTGTTGCCAGAATAGGGTAGTATTATGGACTGCTTGTTTGTTCCCTCCAAAATTTATATTTTGAAACCATAGCCCTAATGTGATGGTATTGGGTGCGGGAGCATTTGTGAGGTAATTAGGTCAGGAGGGTGGAGCCCTCATTATGGGATTAGTGTTCTTATAAGAAGAGTTAGCATCACCCTCCACCACACCCCCCCCCGCCCCAACTCTCTGCCACATGAGGATACAATGAGAGGACTGTCACCTGCAAATCAGGACGCAGGCCCTCACCTGACACCAGAGCTGTCAGCATATTGATCTTGGACTTCCTACCCTCTACAACTGCAAGAAATCAATGTTTGTTTTGAAGCCACCAGTCTGCAATAATTTGTGACAGAGGCCTGAACTGACTACTCAGCTAAAGATGGCTCAAAGGAGAGGGAGACCTGTGCTGAGGAAGGACGGTGAAGTGGGATGGGAAGGGAAGCTGGCAGCAGAGGGCAGAAGTGTCGAACACAACCCAGCCGTCATCAACTGGAAGCCCAAAATAATGGATTATCTTTGGCTCAAGTTTTAAAAATTGGAAAGTTTGTGGGGGGTGGGGGGGCGGGATTTCTGAAATTTGGATTTCTGAACATTCTTGAAAAAAAAAAAAGATGTGACAACCTCAGGCTTGCATTCCTGAATCTCGACTCTTGGCTGAAGCTAAGGAGGAGCTGTCGTGAACGGGATCGGGTCCTCCAGTTCACCAGTAGCCACAGCGTGCCCTATTCTTTTACCCTCTTCTTTCTTTACTTATTTGCTTAGCCCCTATAAGTAGTGGAATTTGTGATCTTCAATTTAGAAAAGAATGTTTATTAAACATTAATCTGATAACACCAATTAAAAATCTGCTATTTTTTCTAACAGTCTGCTAGAAATGAAAGACAAGAAACATGAAACATTTTTGCCATATGCCCAAAGGTTGTTATTAGAGTTTTCTTTTATTCCTGTCTTTTCTACTGAAATTACCCGAAGTTTGTTTGGCCTTTCCTGGGGCCATACAATTTAAACTTTTCATCACTGTTGTTACTTGGTGTTGGCACTGATGTTGATTTTCCTGTCTTTGTAAACTGTGAACACCTCAGCACCATGCCGTTTCCTTGACTCAGGCCTGGTGTGTGACAACACCACAACAAACACTTTTGAGCGCCTACAGTGTTCCAGGCACTGTTCGGGAAATGTGGGCTGTCACCCAGTGAAAGAGACAAACCTGAAGAGTTCATCTCAGGATAAGCTCTGGGAGTTTTATTCGGTGACAGCCCACATTCTCAGAACTGTTCCTGGAACACTATAGGCGCTCAAAAAATATTTGTTGTGGTGTTGCCACACACCAGGCCTGAGTGAAGGAAACGGCATGGGGCTGAGGTGTTCACAGTTTACGAAGACAGGAAAATCAACATTAACGCCAACAGCATCATCAACAGATAATAAACGATGAATGTAATCAACAAGAAAATTATATATGTTGGAAAATGATTTGGAAAAGGAAAAATAACAGAGTGGGCTGAAAGGGCTGGCAGTGTGAAACTGCCATTTTTAAGCAGGGCATTCAGCATCAGCCTCACCGAGGCTGAGGACATTTAAGCAAAGACTTGAAGGAGGTTGTCGTGGGAAATTACCTCAATGTGATGGGAACCTGTAAGTACCAGGCAAGCTGTTCTGTCATGGAACAGAGGCTCATAGACCAAATAAGGATGTTAAAATCATGCAGATCATCAAATAAACCTAAAACACAGGGTGAGAATCAACAGGAAAGAAATGCCGTAAGTTAACATATTAAATACTTGCAACGAGGTAGAGGCAGGTAGAACCCACACTACACGAATGCTGGACTATGCATTGTTAATATGCTCTTCCTCTCTCTTTGTGTCCCCCTCTTGTGTTCCCTTATCTCCCCTAGCCGTCCCCACTGATGATGGGGATCTAAGGACCAGACCTGGAGCTCAGCAGACAGAGGTGCCTATGGCCAATGCACACTTGCTTTGTCAGAGAGACTCAGCACCAAGCACTCCTGGTCAATGGCTGTGGCTCATATTATTAACCTGTTGAGCAGCTGGGAGCTTTTTATGATTCTCTTGGGCAGAACACTTGTGTAGTAAGAAAAAGGACCACAATACATATCATCCATGGGCAAGCAGTTTGGGATGACATAGCTGTCAGCCTGGAGGTGGCATGATCCCTACCTTACTACTTGGTTCTTCTGCCCCTTTCTTTATACAGATAACACTCTTGATTATTTCATGGTTTACAAATCCTGTGTCTCATTCATCATATCTCTCTTTAACATGTCTTCTAAGGTACATCCTACCTTTAACATATGTTAGAAATTTCATCCACCCCATTGCTTTTCTCATCTTTTAGAGCAGAATTGAATATTCTCAAGTAGTGAATAATAGTAAACACACTTTACAGAGGGGAAAGAGTCAGCTATGATAATATCAAAGGGAAGAGCACATCAGCCTGAAGAATTAGCAAAGGCAAGAGTACACCTGGTGTGTCTTCAGGACAGCAAGAAAGGCATTATAGCTGGAGTGGAGTCAGTGGGTGAGTGAGGATTAGTAGGAGAGATGTTCAGAGTGTTCTGGACCTTATGGCCATTGTAAGGACTGTGTAACAACAAATTTATCCTTCATTGAGTTATACAGTTGACCTTTGAACAACATGAGTTGGACTGTGTGAATCCGCTTATATGCAGATTTTCTTCCACTTCTGCCACCCATGACATGGTAAGACCGACACCTCCTTTTCCTCCTCCCCCTCAGCCTACACAATGTGAAGAAGATGAGAACGAAGACCTTTATGATGATCCACTTCCACTTAATGAATAGTGAATATATTATCCCTTCTGCATGATTTTCTTAAAAACATTTTCTTTTCTGTAGCGTACTTTATGGAAAAAATGCAGTATAGAACACATAAAACATACAAAATATATGTTAATCAACCATGTGTGTTATTGGTATGGCTTCCAGTCCAGAGTAGGGTATTAGGAGTTAAGTTTTGGAGGAGCCAAAAGTTATACTCCAGTTTTCAACTATGTGGTGAGTTAGTGCCTGTAACCCCTAAGTTGCTCAAGGGTCAACTGTACTACCAATTCTATTTTTCCATCCTCTAGGAGTTACCCTTTACTCATGAGTAGGAGGAAAATCACAGTAGTGCAGTGTCATGGAAGCTTGGGGAAGGGAGAGAGTTTAAAAAGAGGTCAGCTGTGTCCCTGAAATGACTTTGATAAGGAAGAGGTTATGGGAGATGATGAGAACAAGGTGGAAGAAAAGGCCCTTTGAATTAGCAATAAAGATGTCATCAGTGACCTTCAAGGGACAAGTTTCGACGAAGCAGCCAGGGCAGAGGCTGAGTGCTAGGTTACAGAGGAAGCCTGTGGGGAGGAAATGGATGTACTGCTTCCTCAGGCCCTGGTGACCTTTCATAGATCGCTGTGCCTCATGGCTGCTGAGATGAGAAAGCCCCCTCCCCTGGAGGGCTGTGGCATAGGCTGTCAAGCACTTCCCAGCAGAGCCCCACAAACCCCGTTCCCATGTCTCAGGCTGCTGATTAAAGTGTTTCCAGCAAACTCTACCAGATTCTTTGAAAGGCCTTTGAGGTTGCTCATTCAAGTGAATCCTTTTACTCACTGTTTTTTTTTTTTTTTTTTTGTATGAGTGGAGGAAAAGATGAGACTAATAATTCAATTTGCTAATTGATACTTTCTTGTACAGATACTATAATTCTGGTTCCAAAGATTATCTGCATTCCATCTATCTATTCATGCATTCATCCATCTATCTGTCCATCTATTCATCCCCCAATCCGTTCCTTCATTTTCCATCCCTCCATCCCTCCATCTACCCCTCCTTCCATTCATCCTTCCATCCATTTATCTATCTATCCCTCCATCAGTTTATCCATCATCCATCCATCCATCCATCTACCTATCCCTCCATCCATCCTCTTCTTGATTGTTATCTCTATGACAGACATATCTTTCCTATCTCCAAGGCTAATTTGTCCATCTGTCCTTAAAATTCTACCTTCTACCCCCTACTCCACTATTCCCTTTTCTCTTTTCTTGCTCCCCCTGGGAAACTTGAAGATCAGTGAATCCCTTCCCCACACCCGCTTTTTTTTGAGATGCTTTTTTTTCACTCTTGTTGCCCAGGCTGGAATGCAATGGTGTGATCTCGGCTGGCTGTAACCTCTGCCTCCTGGGTTCAAGCGATTCTTCTGCCTCAGCCTCCTGAGTAGCTGGGATTACAGTCCCCCACCATCATGCCCAGCTAATTTTTTGTATTTTTAGTAGAGATGGGGTTTCACCATGTTGGCCAGGGTGGTCTCAAACTCCTGACCTCAAGTGATCCACCTGCCTCGGCCTCCCAAAGTGCTGGGATTACAGGCATGGACCACTGCACCTGGCCCAGTGGATCCCTTTTTATCTCTGATCTCCACTCCCATCCTTTCCTGGATAAACTCAAGTTGTTTCTGTCTTTAAAAATCACACCTCTCCCCACCTCCATGTCCATTTGTGTCTGTTATCCTAGGTCTCTTACTTGCTCAAAGTTCCTTGAAGGCAACATTTGCACAAGCTTGCATCTGCTCTCTGGACCCCACTGAAACTGCTGCCCCTAACGCCCAGTCACACGCCCGTGTCAGCTCATAACATGCTCATTTACTCACTACATTTTCTGTCGTAATTGCTTCTTTTCTCTCCTGTCTCACTCAAGAACCTAAATTCACCGAGAACAAGATTCTTTCATATTTACCATCTGTTCTAGATGTCTCTAGCATCTAGAACAGTCTCTGGCACATGTTGACAATCCATGTCTGTTCAACGAATGAATGAGCGACTGACTGAATGAGCATCCTATGTTCTCTCTTTTACATTTGACTCAGTTAACTATGTCCTCTTTTTAAAAACATTCTTCCATTAGTTACTCAGACAATAGTGTCTCTGGTTTTCATTCTAACCCTCTGTCGGTTCTTTTGTGGTTTCTTATCTTTAAATGATGCAATTTCCTAAGGGTCTTTTTTGGTTCTTTTCTGAACACTATCTACTCTACCTGGGCAAGCTCATCTGTAGCCACAGTTTTACAGACAGCTTCATCTCTACCTCCAGCTCTGATCTTTCTCCTGCTCCTCTCCTAATCATATATCTAGCTGCCTACTAAACAACTCCATTTAACTATCTCAAATATAAAAGTTAAAGAAATGAACTCATTACTCCTGTGGCAGTGAATGCATAGTAACCTACTTAGTTGCCAAAGCTAGAAATATGGGCATTTTCCTGGATATCCTTTCCTTTATCTGTTATTTAATTAGTTATTGATTCCTTTAGATCAGACTCCTATGGCATATCTGAAACCTCTCCCACTCCACTTGCTTGTCGTTGTCTGGGTGTCATGAATGAGATATTCAGTTTGGTGGGGGCAGAGGTGATGAGCTCTGCTCATCTCCCTTCTTCCCCATCTCCCTGCATTCACACAGAGACACAGACACCTGTGTCTGAGCACACACACAGAAAGATGCACTCAGAGTCAGGCTGTTGCAAACACTAGGTTCCAGGCCTTCTGGCCACCTTTGAGGCAAGCAGTCAGCTGCCTTCCAGGAGAGAGAGGAGGTCAGGAGGCAGCATTGGGAAATAGAATGAAACAAATGGTAACAGCTATACCTCCAAAGTCTCGCATCCCCACCAAAAACTTCTCCCTTAAATGGTATTGTAAAATACCATAGAAAAGAAAGCAATAAAAAGAAATCAAATTATATTTTGACTGAAGTAATTCTAACCACATATTTCGCAATCATGTGTTAACTTCCCTGTCTGTATTTCATTTACCGCAGTGACTTTGTTTCAAAAACAATTGTCATCACAGACTTGGAGTGTGTTGATTCTCATCTGCATCATTTTAAAACAAGTCGTTAAGTGTCTGATGATATAAGGCACAAGCTGCACCGCTCGGTTATTGGACTGGGACATCAGAGAGTGGTGGGAACAGGATGAGGCTGGGGCAGCAGAGTGACGGTGGGACAGGCTGGGGCAGCAGAGT